CACAGCAACATCGGCACCTTGCCGCCCGGGTGCTGCTCCGCCGTCGCCGCCGCCGCGGCTAGACCGGCCGACGCGGCGTCCAGGGCATCGTCCAGGTCCGTACCGGCCTTGGCGGAGTACCTGCCGCAGAAGACCAGGCGGCCCATGGCTCGGGCCAGCGCCCGCTCGCCCGCGCCGGCGTACGCGCCAAGGAGCTCTGGCCGCTGCGCGATGCGCTCGCGCACCTCGGCGCCACTCCGCACCTTGGCCAGCAGCTCCTCCCAGCGGTGGCTGCCCCGCTCGCCCTGCGACTCGTACACCTCGAGGAACGCCTCCAGCCTCTCCGGGGGCACCCGCAGCTTCGTGGCAAGCTGCTCGGCCATGCAGCGAGCGTGAGGGCGCGGAGGCTACGGGCTACGATGTGTGGAGGAGAAGGAGGACGAGGAGGAGGAGAGGAAGGAAGAGAAAGAGGAGAAAGAGGAGGAGATGATGAGGGTCCATATAATTTTCTGGCTCAAGGCAATCTAGGGCCCGAAGCGCGGTCCACCCGCTGGGGGACTGCCGCGTGGCGGGCCGACCCCAGCCCGCGGGCCGACAGCGGCCAGGCGGGCGCATCAACCATGGCATCCCATGTCGTGCCGAACACGGCCCCGCCTTGCGATGCCAGGAATTGGAAGCCTTGTGCGGCGGCGGCGACCGACAAGCCCGCATCGAGAGCCAAGAGAAGACAATTGAGAATGAAACGAGTGGCGGTGCGACAAGCTCTGTTGACCCTGTATAACCACATTTGGCTGCAGCCGCACCAACACACAAGCCGGGGGGCACATCCGGAATCTCAGATGCCTCTGCTCTCAGAGTTAGCGGCAGCAGTGCAACGGATCGAATACGACGTACAGACGGTACGACAATCAGCGGGCACAGGACTCAGCAGGAACGCTCCAGAGTGCGTCCCAGGTCTGTTGCAGTGTTGGACGGAAGCCAGCGTAGCGCCAGGTACCAGCAGATATGATACAAACTGCATGCAAATCCAGTGGTAGCAGACAGCAGGCGTACAGACAGGCTTACAGACAACACATGTTCAATCGACTGTGAAGCAATCCCTGACATACTCGTCGTGTACAGCAGGGGACGGAGTGGTGCATCATGACGTGGCTCGAGAAGTGGTGCATGAAGAAGGGAGCGGGGCCTGGGCGCCATCGACTACAGACCAGCACGTGCGGAGATAGACAGCGGAAGCAGGCGGAGATAAGAAGCGCTTACCACGGACGCCATCAGCTACAAAGCAGCACGTGCGAAAAGTGGCGACAGTGGCTGCGACGCAGTGGCAGCAGGCAACGGTGCGAGAAGACCGGACAGTCGAAGCAAGCAGCGGTGCGAGCAGACCCAGCCGTGGCAGCAGGCAGTGGAGCGGGAAGTGACAGAGTGGGCAGTGGTGCAAATACATCGGGCAGTGGTGCAACACGCAAGAGGTGCAAGAAGTGCCGGCAGTGGCAGCCTGCGCGGCGCGCGAGCAGGAGCGACAGTAGCAGGCAGTGGCCGCACTGGCTACGAGTGTGGCGCCCAGAAGCATAAGCCCGATACCAACAGCTGCGAGATTAGCACCGAAGCACGAGCCGACACCAACAGCTACGAGGCTGGTGTCACGAAGCATAGGCATGATGTCGCCAGCTTCGAGGATGGCGACGCGCAGCACGAGCCCGATGCCATCAGCTACGACGTTGGACGCCCAAGTGCGGGGGGCGGAGTCGCGAAGCACGAGCCCGATGCCATCAGCTACGAAGGAAGTGACGTGGGCCCCCATCGTAAGGGCCAGGCGAAAGAGAGAGGCCTTCCTAGCCAGACGCCAGACTCGAACGCCGGCAGTGGCAGCATGAAGTGGTGCGAAAAGGCCCTGCAGTGGGGCCAGGCGGCGGTGCGAGAACAGGCGGCGTGGGAAATGGCGCAGTGGCAGCTGGCAGTGGTTCAGCAGGCAGTGGTGCGACAAGAACTGGCAGCGGCAGCGGAAACGGCAGTGGCAGCGCGGCCACAGTTCAGCGCGAGCGAGAAGAGCGGCAGCAGCAGTGCCAGCAGGCAGCTTCGATACATCTGGGCAACATACGTCGTCAGATGCATATGCGGTCTGGTGCGTACGTGAAAAATCGGCAGTTGCAACCAGAAGCGGTGCAAGCGAGCCCGACGTCATCGATTACGAGCGTGACGCCGAGAAGCACGAGCCCGACGCCATCAGTTACGGGACGAGGACGAACGACCGTCAGTAGCTTCAGGAAGTGGTGCAAGCATACCTGGCAGTGGTAGCAGGAGGTGGTGCGAGAAGAGGCAGTGTGGGCAGTGGTGCCATGTGCTATGGCAGATGGCAGGGGTCCAGCAGGCAGTGCCGCGCGTGGGACTGGCAGTGGCAGCAGGCAGCGGCAGCAGGCAGCGGCAGCAGGCAGCGGCAGCAGGCAGCTGGCAGTGGTGCAGCAGGCAATGGTGCCCGCCATCTACGCCCAGCCCTGGTATGCTTGTCTCTCACTCAATATGCATACGTCTTCGAACGACTGGGATACGCTGACATCACGAGGAGCAGGAGGGACGAGGAGGAACACCACCTGCGAGAAGAAGCGTCAGTGACAGCAGACAGAGGCGACAGTGACAAGGCTGACAGCTACTACGAGGAGAGCGACGGGTCCGAAAGCTGCCATGAAAAGAACGCTCGCAACATGTACCACGGCAAAGGCGACGGAGATCTGGAACTACCGCGGGTGGCGATCGAAAAGGCGGCCAAGGAAGGCAACCGAGACCTCGCCAGGCTCATGCTGGCAGACGGGCTCTGGGGAGAGCGGGCAGTGGCTGCAGGCGGAGGACAGACTGAAGACTAGACGTCAACACCTACCTCCGTGGGCCAACGCGTGCGAGACGAACCAGCAATGGCAGCCGGCAGCAGTGAAAGAGCTGGATGCCAGACATCCTGAGCTACATGCGTGAGCCAGCAGGGGCGAGAGCGGCCAGCAATGACAGCGGAGAGTGGCGCCGCACACTGGGGCGGAGGCGGCAAGGGCCCTGGCCGAGACAACGGAGTGCACGGTCTACGTCGGGAACATCTCCTACGACGTTGACTGGCGCATCCCGAAGGACCAGCAGACTGACCACCGAGGACGGCAGCGTCTACGGCAGATCGATGGGGTATGGATGCGTGCGCTTCTCCACCGATGCTGAGGTCCAGCAGGCCATCGCCACAGACGGAGCTCATGGGTCGTGGGATACTTACCAGGCGGTACCAGATGGCATGAACTACCACAGCTTCTACACCCTGCGAAATGCTTAAGAAATCATGGGTTAAGAAATTCATAGTCTCAGAATTTGAAATCAAACCCAGAATGTCTATTCAAATCTTAAGATTCACATTGAAACGTTAAGAATTATCGAGACTCTGGCCGAAAACTTGGGTTTTCTTAAGCATCGCCTAAGGTGTACTTCTGTGTTGCACCACACGTGGACCAGCACTGCAGCCTCTGCCCTCCTCCCCGACACATGGGGGTGGCCGCGACGCCGCCCCGTGCCCGCTGCCAAGGGTGAGGAGGAGGAGGAGGAGGAGGAGGAGGAGGAGGAGGAGGAGGGGGAGGAGGAGGTGGAGGAGGAGGAGGAGGAGGGGGAGGAGGAGGAGGAGGAGGAGGGAGGAGGGGGAGGAGGAGGCGGAGGAGGAGGAGGAGAAGGAAGAGCAGGAGGCCGCCCAGGCCGCTCCGCAGTGGGCTCCGGCGCGTGAGCGCTCTCTCTCTCTCTCTCTATTTCTCTCTTCCCCCGCCCCGCGGCCGTCCCCTCCCTTTTTCCCTCTCTTGCCGCAGGGCAGTTAGCGATGCCGTCTCCCGGCTTGCCCGAGCGCGCGTGCGGACTGCCTCTGCCGCGCTGCGACGGGCAAAAGTGTGGACCAGCACTGGCAAGCGCGTGGAAGAGCCGGCAGAGGCAACAAGCTGGGTACCAACCATCATGAACCACATGTGCGGACCACGGCGCGTGCGAGAAAGGCCGGCAGTGCAGCGGGGGGAGAGCGGCACCACGGGCGGCCCGCGGACATCGTCTGCGACCTCTCTGGTCGTGATGCCAAAGGATGGCTGTCATAGCCGTGCGAGAGGGGGGGGAGGAGGAGGAGGAAGAGGAGGAGGAGGAGGAGGAGGAGCAGGAGGAGGAGGAGGAGGAGGAGGAGGAGGAGGAGGAGGAGGAAAAGCTACGGGCTGAGGAGGGGCCCGCCGCCGCGGGGGGGGGTCGTGTCGTCCCCTCGTTCGGCCAGCCCCGTCAGCCCGGGCCAGCGCGCCGCGGCGCCATAAAATAATCAAAGTTGAAGAGAAGCGCCGCGGCCGCGACGCCTAGGCTAAAGAAAGACGCCCAGGCAGAAGAAAGAAAGTTGGCACAGGAGGGCCCGCATTGCGCGGGGCCACGCCAGGACGCTGCTGAAGGTAGTTGAGGCCTCCCGACTTCCCGGCTACTGGCAGACCATCACTCAGCCCAGCCCATCAACAATATGGCGAACAGCTGGAAGCAGCAGCAGCAGCGAGGCGCCTCGAGGGAAAGGTGGTCAGGAGCAGAGACCACACACCTCGAGGCGTCTCAGCGCGGCGCTGGGAAAAGGTGGACAGGAGTAGGGTCCACAGCCCAGGCGCCTGCGCGTGGCCCAGGGGAAAGGTGGTCAGGAGCAGGGACCACACACCCTGGGCCCGCAGTGGGCGAGCAGCCATGGCCTTGGAGGAGCTCTACGTACCAAAGCAAGAGGTCCTGGAGCCGATCCGCTTCGAGAAAGAAGGCCGCCGTCCACATCCAGGACTACATCCTCAGCATGAGGCAGCAGGCCGTCGCCGACGCCGTGCTCGAGCTTCCATTCTCCCTTTCTCGCGACCACGAGTCCTTCGGCCTTTCCGCCAGAGGACCCTGACATGAGGAAGCTGTGGATGAGGAACCTCCAGCAGAGGCTCGGCCGAGTTGCCGATCAGATCAGCGGCGCGCAGTCCGCCAAGGTCGACGCCAACAAGCTGATAACGGAGGCCTCGGTGATCAAGTGTATGCTCGCAATGGCCACGGATCCACACGCTCGGCTACAACAATACCGGTCTCAGGTCGAGGTGCCGGCAAAAGAGCAGAAAAAAACATCCACGAGAAGAAGGAGGCTTTGCAGACCAAGGCCGACGCCAACACCCAGCGCACCGCCGAAGCCGACACTGATTGCGAAGCTGACTCCGAGGACTACAAGAAGCAGTACAAAAACAAAAGGGCCAACACCCCATTTCGCCGTCGCGCCAGTCGAGAGCCTCCTTCCTCGTGCTCGAGCAGGCCGGCCTCACCATCAAGCACCATCGCAGAGCAGCTCAGGAAGAAGGGCGAGGAAGCGCGCCGAGAAGGAAGGAGTCAGGCCAGT